TTATTATTACTTATATTTATTTATTTATTTTGTTTTTTACTTCCACTTTTGTTTTAGTTTGATAATGATAATGAGCGAATTGAGCTTAAAAAAAGAACCGAGAATTCATTATATAGACCCTAATTTGTTTGAGATTGAGCTATTGTTATTGTTGTTATTGTTTTATGTTTAGATGGTCAAATCTGATAAATTCGAATTCATTTTCAGTTTTTACTACTTCCTAAAAGGTAAAGAACCCAAACATTTGATTAATAATCTAATAGGAATAATTCTTATAATGAGATTAATATTACTATTATTCTTTAGCTCCCTAACAAGCATGTCATTTCTTCGGAGGACAACATTAAACATGGAAATGTGTTAGGCTTCACAGTATTGTTGAGCTGACTAATTATTTATTCGAGCATTATTAGGCAAGCATGTCCAAGGTAGTTAGTTGAACAAAATTGGAAAGATCAATTATCAATTAACTGTCCTGTAGGAGAAAACTATAGGAAAACGTGAAACAGTTAACCATTTAATTAACATTTCATTCTGCTGTCTTTTTCTTTTCTTTATTAGTCATGCTACTCAAGAGGAAAAAAAATATGAATTCCTTAAAATGTTGTGTGTATGAACACAGTTGCAAGGTTACCATCCTATCAACCAATAAAGTATATTAGTTTAAAACTATAGAAAAGATTTTACGAACTAGTGTTGTATTAAATGTGTGAAGGGAGCCTTGGCATAACTGGTAAAGTTGTTGTCATGTGAGTTGCGATTAGGAGGTTATGGGCTGTGGCGGAGCCAGAATTTTTAGCAAGGAGTGTCAAAATATAAGAAATTAGATACACCAAAAAGTTAAGGGGAGTCAAAATATAGTAAATATACATAAAACAGAAAATTTTATCTAGCAATACAACTTTTCAGCGAAGGGGTGTCAATCAACACCCCTTGGTTGAATGTGGCTCCGCTACTTACGGGTTCGAGCCAAATAAATAGCATCTTGCAGAAATTCAACGTAAGGCTGTGTACTATAGATCCTTGTGATCCGCCCTTCCTTGAACCGCGCGCATAGCGGGAGCTTAGTGTACAGGGCTGTCCAATGTTGTATCAATTGTCTACCAAATATCGTTGATCTAAATTTCATATACGCATAACTACTTTCAGAAAACTTCTTGACTTAAAAGAAGTGCATGTTCCTCAAACCAACATGCGGGAAGATTAACTAATAACAATAGAGTACTTTTTAGAAGTTAAGAGTATATTTCACAACTAACATCTCACCAAATCGTCATAGTCCCCCAATAACTTCCCCTATATATACCCTTAGTTAGTACTAATAATCAAACTCAACTCAAAACACAACTTAACTTCCTTAGAAAATAAAGCTACAATATTGAGCAAAATTNACAATAGAATTTTAGAATTTAGAGCATAAGCATATGCTTCCTCACCCAACATCTCACCAAATCCTTGTAATCCCTCACGAACTCTCCCTATATATGCCCTTTGCTACTAATGATCAAACTCATCTTAAATCAAAACTCAACTTAACTTCCTTGGAAAACAAAGCATCAATCTAGAGCAAATTAACAATGGCTTCTTCTAGCAACTGCTCAATCCTTTTATTGATCATAGCATTATTGTCCTTATCAAGTATCACTACAAGCCATGCTGCTCGAAACCTACTGCAACTTCCAAACTTGCCAACAATCCCGTCATTACCTCAGCCAACAATTCCAAAATTGCCCACTATTCCCAACTTTCCAACAGCATCCACATTGCCACCATTGCCAACACTTCCAACAGCAACACCATTGCCTTCTTTGCCTACTTTGCCCTCTGTGCNAGTTGCAACTGCTCAATCCTTTTCTTGATCATAGCATTATTGTCCTTATCAAGCATCACTACAAGTCGTGCTGCTCGTAGCCTAATGCAACTTCCAAACTTGCCTACAATCCCGTCATTGCCTCAGCCAACAATGCCGCAGTTGCCTAAAATTCCCAACTTTCCAACAGCAGCCACATTGCCACCATTGCCAACACTTCCAACAGCAACACCATTGCCTTCTTTGCCTACTTTGCCCTCTGTGCCAAAAATGACTCTACCACCAATGCCTGCCAATATTCCTATTCCCAACATGCCCTCACTTCCAAACATTCCCACAATTCCAACCATTCCTACACTTTCACCTCCTCCATCCAACTAATCTTGCAGCTCCACTAAATTTACTAATACTACTTGTTTTACCCTTATTTGTCTTTTTTCTTCTTTTTGAGCCGAGGGTTTCTCGGAAACAGCCTTTCTATCAATCCGAGGGGTACTGGGTTGTTGTTGTTGTGTAATTTCCAATGTTATTTGAGCTGATTGCGAGGTTTGTCTGAGTGTCATGTTTTGCCTGTGAAACAGCATTTGATGTAGTTCACTGTTGCTATTAATTATTTCCGTCTATTTCATTATACTATTCTAGAGCAAAGTTTCTTTCTTTATTTTTCTGAAAAATGATGTCAATCTGAAGCCAGATAGTACGGATAAAAGCAGACCATGAATCTACACAGGCATAAAAACTACTCCATTAGATAGCTTTACGCTCTTCTTTAAGTAAAAGCGATGGAGGTAACGGAGCTTAAATTAGAGAAACTGTAATGGCGCAAATTAAAAAGATACCGAAATAAAAGTTAAAGACAACAAAAAAAGTAGACTTTAGAAAATGTATATATGTACAAAGCCCTTTAACTTTAGAAAATGTATTTGGCCTTTAAATGGAGTAAGAGATCTATTACTCCCTCCGTTTCAATTTAGATGAGGTAGTTTGACTCGATATGGAGTTTAAGAAAAAAAATAGACTTTTGAAACTTGTGAGACCATGACAATTGTGTGGTTATAAAAGTTTCTCATTAAAATTAAAATTAAAAGTTTAAAGTTAAATTATTTTCAATTGTAGAAATTTATCATTCTTTTTATAGCAGACTAATAAGGAAAATACGTCATCTAAATTAAAACCGAGAGAGTAGTTGATAATAGTATGCTTTATTCATGTTAACTACCACTTTGATTTTACGTTGTATGCTTTTTCATGAAAGTGTTTAGCTTTTAAGAGATTTAATCGTCACTAGAACTTCTAATACTTTCTATTTTTAATAATTTAAATGGAGTAACATGGTGAGCGAGAATTTTATATGGCCGGCGCCAATTTGTCTGGGACTAAGGTAGTTGTTGTTGTCTGGACTATAACAATATATTAAGAATATCTTATTATTATAGTGTCACAACATAATCAACAAGTCGCTTTGGCCGAGTGGTTAAGGCGTGTGCCTGCTAAGTACATGGGGTTTCCCCGCGAGAGTTCGAATCTCTCAGGCGACGAACTTTTTTCTTGATTCATATTTGATCATTTTTAGCTACAGAAGAGTATTAACTCAGCCATAAATCTTTTCCGACTGCCACGTATGAATTCCGTTCCCTAATCTCTGAATTTAAAAGATCTGGATATATTTTTTTAGTCACAATCTACACGAAATTTAAAAACCAAAAGAGGAAAATTTGGATAGTTTTGCCCGAGCAACAAGCAGCTAAGCATGGTCAAATATGAATCTCTGGTTTTAAAGCTGATCTCTTTTGTCGATTCCTATGTATACAAGGACAGAATGCTAAAGAACATATTGTTAATTATGAGAATTTTTATTTTACTAGGTCTTTGACATCCTTTGGCAATTTCACAGTAACTTTTAATATTGAAATTTTGTTCAACGAAAGCAATGATGATTACCTACATTAGTACATTGTCAGTTAACAAGGTGTTTGACCAGTCTTAATCTGCATGCACTAACACCCAAATAATCTGCATGGCACTAGAACTTCAATGAATATTCACAGACCAATCTAAACTTGAGATAATCTTAGGGTGTAACAAATGTGAGACCCATTTAAATAAAAAAGAAATAAAAGAAAAAGAAAAAGAAGACAGCAGTTGGCTTAAACGTGCAATTTGCAAATCAAATTTTGCAAAAAACAAATCTGATTTGGAAAGATGCAAATATGATTTTAGAAAGCCAAATGTGGAAACTTTTCCTATAAATAGAAGCTTTCGTTCTTCATTTCAAACACACCAAAAACGAGAGAGAAGCAAAAAGTTGAGAATAATCCACAGATTGTAGTATGTGAGATAAATAGTGAGTGTGAGTAATAGAGTGTTATTTCTTTCAAAGTTGTAGTAGTCTCTTGGCACTACTAAGTTGTAATATTATAGTTGCAATATTGCTCCACTCGGGTATTGTATTTTACCCCGTTAAAGAATTTGGTGTCGTTGTTACTCTCTTGTGTTATTGTGATTTATAATGGATATTATTCCTGGGCGGGATATTATTTTTTATCCCAACAACGTGGCATCAGAGCCATGGCGAGAATGGTCCCCTGTCTTTTTAGTATCCATGTCTCACAAAAGATAATTATGAGAAATGGTGTCTACGTATGAAAGCCATTCTTGGCTCCCAAGATGTGTGGAAAATCGTAGACATAGGGTATGCAAAACCCGATAATGAGGAAGCTCTGCATCAAAATGAAAAAGAGGTCTTGGCAAAGACAAGGAAGAAGGATCAACATGCCCTCACGCTCATCCACCAATGTTTGGATGATGTCATGTTTGAGCAGGTGGCAGATGCTACCACCTCAAAAGAAGCTTGGGAGATTTTACAAAATTCTCTCCAAGGACTTGACAGGGTGAGGAAGGTAAAACTTCAAACTTTAAGGGCTGATTTTGAAGTTTTAAAAATGAAAGAATCTGAATGCATTTTGGATTATTGTTCAAAAGTGAAGGCTGTTGTGAATCAACTAAGAAGATACAAGGAGGACATAGAAGATGTCCGTGTGGTAGAAAAGATCCTTCGTACTTTAACACCTAAATTTAATTTTGTGGTGGGGGCTATTGAGGAGTCTAAAGATTTAGACTCTATGACGGTGGAGTAATTGGAGGTTTACATGCCCACGAAGAAAAGATCAAAAGGAGACAAGAAGTGCCAATGGAGCAACTTCTAAAAACTCAGGCAAACTTCAAGGATTATGGAGGTGAAAAAAGCTATCGAGGGAATGGACGAGGACGAGGTCGTGGTGGTCATGGAAGAGGAATAAGTAATGGTAACAACTTCAACAATGAAGTTAAAATCCACCAAACATTCAGAGGTCGTGCTCGTGGACAAAGAAGAGGAAGAGGACGTGACTATTACTAAGAAAATAATGGACAAAGGTATGACAAATCAAAAATTGAGTGTTATAATTGTCATAAATTTGGCCACTACTCTTGGGAATGTCATAGCAATTGTTGAAGAAAAGGCTAACCTCATTGATGACAAGAAAGAAGAAGATTAGTCAACATTATTGCTGGCACTCAAGGAAGAAGACAAGGATGATTGTAGCTCGTGGTATTTGGACAATGGAGTAAGCAATCATATGTATGGATGCAAAGAGAAGTTTGTGGAGATCAATAAAATGGTGAGAGGTAATGTATCCTTTGGAGATACCTCAAAGATTCAAATCAAAGGGATAGGTACGATTCTGATCTCATGTAAAGATGGTAGTCACAAGCTAATTCAAGATGTTTATTATGTGCCAAAATTAAAAAGTAATATTTTGAGTTTGGCCAACTTTTTGAAAAGGAGTATGGCATCCACCTGAAAAATATGCATATTTGGCTTAGAGATTCAAGTGGAATTCTAATTGCTAAAGCGCATATGGCAAAGAATAGATTATTTTCTCTGAATCTTAAAACAATTGATGCAAAGTGTTTGAAGGCTAATATGCAAGATGAATCATGGTGTTGGCACATGTGATTTGGGAACTTAAATTTTGAAGTGCTCAAAACAATGGGAGAAAAGAACATGGTACATGGGATACCATCAATCAGTCATCTCAATCAATTGTGTGAAGCTTGTCTTCTTGGAAAACATGCAAGGAGGAGTTTACCAAAGGATGCCATGTCAAGATCAACCAAACCGCTCCAGCTTGTTCACATTGATGTGTGTGGACCAATCAATCCACCTTCCTTTGATAAAAGTAAATACTTTCTACTCTTCATTAATGACTTTAGTAGAAAGACTTGGGTTTATTTTTTGAACCAAAAATCGGAAGCTTTTGCTGCTTTTAAAATTTTCAAAGTACTTGTGGAGAAATAAAGTGGCTATGAAATTAAAACTTTAAGGTCCGATAGAGGAGGCGAATTCACTTCAAAAGAATTTAATGACTTCTGTTAATCTCATGGAATTCGTCGCCCTCTAACGGTACCTTATTCACCCCAACAAAATAGAGTTGCAGAGAGAAAAAATCGAACAATTCTTAATATAGCTATATGTATGTTGAAAGCTAAAAGTATGCCCAAGGAATTTTGGGCCGAAGATGTTTCTTGTGCAGTTTATTTAAACAACAGGTCTCCAACAAGGAATGTTAGAGATCAAACCCCTCAAGAAGCATGGAGTGGAAGAAAGCCAAGTGTCAAGCACTTGAGAATCTTTGGGAGCATAGCCTATGGTCATGTGCCACATCAAGGGAGAGCAAAGCTTGACAATCGAAGTGTCAAGCATGTATTTGTTGGCTATGATACGAGTTCAAAAGGCTACAAGTTCTACAACCCAAACAGCGGTAAGGTGGTGGTGAGTCGTGATGTTGAATTTGATGAAGAATTAACATGGGATTGGGAAGCTCAGGAAGAAACTTCATATGATTTTCTTCCATGCTTTGGTGATAAAGAAGAACCATAGACCGTGGAACCTGTGCAAGATACAACTCCACCTTCTTAATGAATAGCCGCAAAGGACAAGGAGTATTCAAGAGCTGTATGAGGACACAAAAGAAGTTACTAATTTTGATTTTTTTATGTTATCTCTTTGCTGACAGTGAACCAATGAACTTTGATGAAGCTGTTACAAACAAAAGGTGGAGACAAGCCATGGAGGAGGAGATTAAGTCAATAGAGAAGAACAACACTTGGGATTTAACAACTCTTCCTAAGGGTCATCGAGCAATTAGAGTAAAATGGGCATACAAAATAAAGAAGAATGCTGATGGAGATGTGGAGAAATACAAAGCACAACTTGTGGCTAAAGGCTACAAGCAAAGGCAAGGCATTGACTATGAAGAAGTCTATGCACCTGTTGCCATCATGGAGACAATTCGTTTGTTGATCTCTTTGGCGGCGCAAATGAAGTAGAAGATCCATCAACTAGATGTCAAGTCAGTCTTCTTGAATGGCTATCTTGAAGAAGAAGTCTATGTTGAACAACCATTGGGTTTCGTGGTCAAAACCATAAAGATAAAGTGTTGCGGTTGAAGAAAGCTTTATATGGATTAAAGCAAGCCCCACGAGCATGGAATAGTTGCATCGACAAATATTTTCAAGACAATGGGTTTACTCGTTGTCTCCATGAATATGCTCTTTACCTTAAAGCTCATACTAATGGGGATATCTTGCTTGTTTGTCTTTATGTTGATGATCTTATTTTCACGGGTAATAACCCAAGTTTATTTGAAGCTTTTAAGAAAGATATGTCTCATGAGTTCGAGATGATGGACATATGGCTCATGTCATACTACTTGGGCCTAGAAATGAAGCAAATGGAGGATGAATTTTTTATCTCTCAAGAAAGCTATAAAAAAGAGATATTGAAGAAGTTCAACATGCTCGATTGCAACCCTGTGAATACGCCGATGGAGAGTGGGACAAAATTGTCCAAGTTTGATGAAGGAGGAAAAGTGGATCCCACATTTTTTAAAATTCTTGTGGGAAGTTTGAGGTACTTAACTTATACCAGGCTAGATATACTCTTTGCAGTTGGTGTAGTACGCCGCTTCATGGAAGCTCCTACCTCCATTCATTTGAAAGATGCTAGACGAATTCTTCGTTACCTAAAAGGTACATTGACTTTGGGCTATTTTATTATTCTTCTAGTGATTTCAACCTTATGGGATTTTGTGATAGTGATTATGCGGGAGATATTAATGATAGAAAAAGTACAACTGGTTTTGTATTTCTTGGGTGATTCTGTTATTTTCTGCAGTTCAAAGAAACAATCAATTGTTACTCTCTCGACTTGTGAAGCTCAATATATAGCAACAACATCTTGTACCTGTCATGCTATTTGGAAGAGAAGATTATTGAAGAAGCTGAATTTGCCACAAATTGAAGTTACAGAGATTTGTATTGACAATAAATTCGCACAGGCACTTGCCAAGAATCTGTTGTATCATGATCGAAGCAAGCATATAGATACAAGATATCACTTCATCAGAGAATGTATTGCCAAGAAGAAAGTCGAGCTCAAATATGTGAAGTCACATGATCAAGTTGCGGATATTTTTACCAAACCTCTCAAGTTTGATGACTTCCAGAGATTGAGATTAAAACTTAGAATGAAGAAGAAAAATCAAAATTAAGGGAGAGATTTGTGGGACCCATTTAAATAAAAAAATAAAAGAAAAAGAAAAAGAAGACAACAGTTGGCTTAAACGTGCAATTTGCAAATTAGATTTTGTAGAAGACAAATCTGATTTGGAAAGATGCAAATCTGATTTTAGAAAACCGAATCTGGAAACTTTTCCTATAAATAGAAGCTTTCGTTCTTCATTTCAAACACACCAAAAACGAGAGAGAAACAGAAAGCTGAGAGTAATCCACATATTGTAGTCTGTGAGATAAATAGTGATTGTGAGTAATATTGTAGTGAGGTGTTTAAAATAAGAATGTTATTTCTTTTAAAGTTGTAGTAGTCTCTTGGCACTACTAAGTTGTAATATTATAGTGGTAATATTGCTCCACTCGGGTATTGTATTTTACCCCGTTAAAAGATCCGATATCGTTGTTACTCTCTTATATTATTGTGATTTATCGTAGATATTATTCCTGGGCGGGATATTATTTTTTATCCCAACAACAAATACTTGGCAAAAGATAATAAACTCATCCCTAGTTTATACCAGATAAACTCACATGATATTTCTTCAATATCCAAAGAATATAACAATCACATTCTCACTATATTTTTGAATGGACATCATATAAATTTGAATTTTCGCATGTCATATATTATTAAAACAGTCCCATGGAAGTTCTGACTTACAGATGAATGAATATATGTCCAACTGAATGACGATAACTTATGATATACCTTAATTAGTCCAGGAGTAAGTCCAAATGTAATACATAAGGGCTAGGTTAAGATTGAATTTCTTTAACCATGAGAGAAGCTTTACAAAATGTGAAGAACAAGTGAAATGCTACTCCTGATCTCTGACAAAGCTTCTTTTATCAATATGTCCTTCTCAATTAGCATCAAATTTGTATGCCTAGCAAAAAATAGGGAAATCTTATTTTTCGTGTTATTTCTTAAATAAATAGAATCGGCAAAGCCATAAAGCTTCTCAACGTGGCTCCTTACTTCTCTATATATATTACACTATTACACTGCAATAGATCCCGGAGTATAAATTGTCTCTTGGTTAAAGAAAATCCGGCTGGCCTGTGGATGTCAAGCAACGATGCCACATGCACAAGTATATTGGACCGGTACATTATACTGGAACTCCAGTATATTATGTTAGAGTTCCAGTATACTTTTGCTGGAACTCCATTATAATATGCTGGAGTTCCAGTATACTTATGCTGGAGTATTTTCCGGATTTTGAACAATGTTTTCGTTCAGATTTATCTTTATATAAAAAATGCCTAAATTTCGGTTACTTTTGAAATTGTGGCTATTTTTGAATAACCACTTGTAAATCTAGCTATTTTTGAATTTCTGTTGGATCTAAATGCAACAGCCCAAGCCCATGGCATGTATTATCCGCTTTGGCCCAATAAACCTCACGAATTTGTGCCTTGGCATGCAACATTGTGTATATCTAGTAATATTTAATTATTAGAGGTTGAATATAATTTTAAAGAACCCCTTTTTTCTATTAATTCATTGAAGAACTTTTTTAACATCTAAGTCTCAACTATCTAGTTTCTGTAAGATATGGGAAAGGAAATTTTAAATTTAGAAGATGGCAAGGAAATGAATAGTGGCAATTCGAGTGTTGAACTGTTTGCATGTGGAAAAGTCAACATTGATAGAGGACTTCGATTTGTGACAACTGAGAGCAAGAGCTCATAGATGGAGAAAGAAAATTTAGTAATCCATAATCATTTTGTCAATCTATAGACATGGCATTGCACTATGGAAGACTTATGTCTCAATAAAAGGGGTGAGACTATGAAAGTGATTTAAACTGATATCAATAAGTAGTTAAGTTTGTATCATTTCCTCACAAGTATATAATTGTATCATACTCTTTAATGTAGAAAATTCTAAAGAAGTTTACCATTGCTCTACCCATGAACAATTGGGATCAATGCACTCAGCACCAACAAATGTTGGGGAGGAATAATTAATTACCTGAAATGTTAATTGTCTACTTGGAGTCAAAGACTTAAATAATATGAGTGCACTTGAAGAAAATAGAACCAAAATAAAACATTTACTTTTTCATCAGCAGACAACAAAACCAAACAGCTTACTTTGTCAACTACTTTTTTCCATTCCAAAGATAGTCCTATTACACTTCCCGGGAGACAAACCAACTTTTGACTAAGATATTCAAATAAATATTTTTTAGGCCATTTTGAAATGGGAGGTTGAAGTTTAATTTTTTTATCAACTAATACCTAAATGATCAAAATGGACAAATTAATCTAAACTAATCCTCAATATATATATATATATATTGGAGAAGTGAGATAGTACCATCTTCGGCAAGGAATAATACTTCGAGATCTTAATTAACGGAAGAAAAAATAATACTTGTGACATAAAACTGGATTTTTTAGCTTTCTGAACTGCCTACCTACTTTTCATCAAAATGATCCATAGTAGACATGTAGGTGTATTTTGCCAAGTCAAGTAGAAAATCAGTATGGAAGACTTGATATAGAAGAGGATCAAATAAGTAAACACAACCAACCTATAGCAGCTACAAAAGATAGATATTAGTGCCTGACTATTTAATCTTGTTGGAATAAATTGATCTGAGCTTTTACAGAAGAGAAATGATGATGAAGAAGAAGAACTAAGGCTGAAGTTCAAAGATAAGCAAATAGCGGACAAAACAAAGTTAGGACTTGGTCTTAATTTTGATTCTAATAAGCCACATGGGATACAACGTGGCTCATCTCAGCTGTTGAATATTGTAATGATAGATCAAATCTGGACCATTCAAAGGACACTCAGATTCTAGATGATTCTCACATGCACACAAGATGTCACCTGCCGAAGGAATAATTATGTGGTTATATTGTTAGACTTAGACTAGTAAAAATAGGACAAGTGTACAAAACTAATAGGTTATTCTTTTATTTCTTGTTTTCTTTTCTAGTAGTACATGTGTATAAATACATTGTCCTTTATACAGATTATTCATTCAGAAATACAGAAAATTTCTCAAATTCCTCTCTCAATTTTCTACATGGTATCAGAGCATTGGCTCTTCTTCTTCGTCTTCTTCATCTTCTTTTTCTTTCAGATTCTCTGATTCAATCATGTCTCCTATCTCGACGTTACTGAAACTCCACCCACACATACCTCTTCTTCAACAACATCAGGCAATGGAAACACCATTGATTCCACTCACCCTTACTTCCTTCATACTTCTGATGCACCAGGTATGATACTGGTGAACACACCATTTGATGGTTGTGGCTATGCTGGATGGAGCAGATCCATCTTGATCTCCCTTTCAGCCAAGAACAAATTGGGTTTCATTGATGGTTCATGCCCTATGCCATCTCCTGCAGACCCTACTTATCCAACCTGGAGCAGATGCAACCACATGGTGACCTCTTGGTTGTTGAATTTCCTCACCAAAGTCATTGCTGACAGTGTTCTATACTCAAAGACTGCTAAGGATCTTTGGTTAGATTTGGAGCACAGGTTTAGGCAACCTAATAGAGCCAAGTTATACCACCTGCAAAAAGAACTTGCTGATTTAGTACAAGGGTCAGTTGATATTGCTACTTATTTCACTAGAATGAAGCGACTATGGGATGAATTAGACACTCTCAACACTGATATGCAGTGCTCATGTAACTGTGATTGTGGTGGAAAGAAGAAAATGCAACAGTTTATGGAAGATGAAAGGCTCATTGAGTTCCTCGTGGGATTAAATGAGACCTATGGACTGACTAGAAGCAACATACTCATGGTTAAACCACTATCCTCAGTCAATCAAGCATACCCACTTCTCATGCAAGATGAGAATCAGAGGGAAATCCACGTCAGTTCTCAATTTCCAACAGATGGTGCTTCTTTCATGGTGAAAAACCAAGGAACTCAGAATTATCAGAATCCTGTAGGATCTCACTTCATTCCTCAGCAGAAGAATGGAAGCACTTCCTATAAAGGAAATCTTGGACACAGAGAAAAGAAAAACACATAGATGTGTTCCTACTGTAAGATGACTAATCACACAATTGATAACTGTTACAGACTTGTGGGATTCCCTGCTGATTTCAAATTTACTAAAAACAAAAGGATTCAAATTCTCCAAAGGGGAATTCAGCTGCTGTAGTGGAAGATACAGGGGAAATTCATAGCAACATGACAGAAGGACCTCAATTTTCTCAGAAGCTATCATCAGATCAATTCAGTCAATAGGTTAATCTCCTGAATCAAATACAAACAGGACAGGGTGCTCCTCATGAAGTTAATGCAAATTCTGTTGCTGGTATATTATTGACTAATTCTCCATTCTGCTATTCAGTTTCTAATTCTAACCTTTCCAACTCATGGATTATAGATTCAGGGGCAACTGAGCATATGTGTTTTAATGCCAACACATTCTTATTCTTAGTACCATTACCTGTTCTTCTAATGGTAAAATTACCTAACTCTTTTAGAGTAAAGGTTACTCATGCTGGGAGTGTTTCTATTTTTCCAGGTTTAGTTTTGGAAAATGTTCTTCACATTGCTAGTTTCAAGTATAACTTACTCTCAAAACAAGAACGATACTTGGCACAAAACTGTTGGATCTAAATGCAACAGCCCAAGCTCGTGGCACGTATTATCCGCTTTGGCCCAATAAATCTCACGGATTTGTGCCTTGGCATGCAATATTGTATATATCTAGTAATATTTAGTTATTAGAGGTTGAATATAAATTTAAAGAACCCTTTTTTTCTATTAATTCATTGAATAACTTCTTTTACATCTCAAGTCTCAACTATCTAGTTTTATTTCTGTAAGCTATGAGAAAGGAAATTTCAAATTTAGAAGATGGCAAGGAAATTGATAGTGGCAATTCGGGTGTTGAACTGTTTGCATAGTGGAAAAGTTAACATTGATAGAGGATTTCAATTTGTGACAACTGGGAGAAGGAGCTCGTAGATGGAGAAAGAAAATTTAGTAATCCATAATCATTTTGTCAATCTATAGACATGACATTGCACTATGGAAGACTTATGCCTCAATAAAAGGGGTGAGACTGTGAGAGTGATTAAACTGATATCAATAAGCAGTTAAGTTTGTATCATTTCCTCACAAGTATATAATTGTATCATGTAATTCTTTAATGTAGAAAATTCTAAAGAAGGTTAACATTGCTCTACCCATGAACAATTGGGATCAATGCACTCAACACCAGCAGATGTTGGGGAGGAATAATTAATTACAATTGTTTTGTTGGAATCAAAGATTTAAATAATATGAGTGCACTTGGAGGAAATAGAACAAAAAAAAAGCATTTACTTTTTTATCAGCAGACAAGAAAAACGGGAGTAACTCCCCTCCATTTCCTAGTCTCTCCGTTTATCCAAGTTCCTACTTGGATTAGAGACACTTGTCATGATTAAAAATAAATGGATGAAATTAATAAAATAAAGCCCTAACTATGATTAAAGTATTTAATTACTTCCTTTATCCGTTCCTAAATAATATATTTTGTCTCGCTTAGCGCTAGAGCTTCCCATAATTTCTCCTTCTACGCGTCAAATACATCTGCTCCGAAGGAAACACCGAAAATCATGGTAGCGGAGAAAATCTTTCAGATTTTTACCATGAAAATCCAGTCCTTGAAGTTAAAAATCAATAGAGAAAAACACAAGTGGAAAAACATAGAACAAGACAGCAAGTCGTGGAACTTCATTTTTCTGGAAATAACTGCTCTGAAATTCTCGTCAGGTTCTTCTTTATACATTAATTCTGTTCCTTAGAAGTTATATACTTTTTGTGCATTTCTTGTTGTGGCAATTATCGAGTAAAAAATTGTATACCATGTGTTTGTGAAAATTACTAAGATTGTATACCATGTGTTTGTGAAAATTACTAAGTCATGAACTTTTTGGTATGGAAAGAATGGAATGAACCTTTTAGTGTGGAATTTCAAGACTAAACTATTCTGTTCTTTGGTATACTGGATTTTGACTTGAAATTAAGTAAATTTAGAAGTTTATCATTTTAACTTACAAATAAAATTAGATTTGAATATCTGATGAATCAAGATTAATCGATCGTCAAACTAGTATATTGTTATGCACTATTCTCTTTCATTATTGCGCTTGGGTTGTATCAATCAAATAAAAAATTTGGGGGTTAGCAGGGACTATGCCTCATAATTACCTTATAAGTCACGTGTCATGTAAAAACTACTACAAAGCAAGTGTTCACTTATAATATGTGTCTTACTTTCTCCCGTTTAATGGTAGATTTATGGAGATCCCATCTCAAAATGAACATATGGATGTTTCTCATTTATTTGAGCCAACAAAACTTGGTATGGAATTTGATTCAGAAGAACATGCATACGAATACTACAACAAATATGCTGCTACAATTGGGTTTAGTGTTAGAAAGGAATATGCAAACAAAAGTAAAGTCCACGGATATGTGACTTCGAGAAAATTTACAATTATAAAGAAGGTTATAGAGAAAGAGACAAGCGAGAAGCGATGGTCAAGAAACCTAGAAAGGAAACTAGGACGGGTTGTTTAGCTCACATGGTCGTAAGTCATAAATCAAATGGGAAGTTTTCTGTCATTTCATTTGAAGAGAAGCACAATCATCCTCTCGTTCCTCCATCTCTAGCTCACATGCTGCCATCGCAAAGAAATATTAAACTTTCTCAAGCATATGAAATTGACTTATTGGATGATTCAGGAATATGTCCTAAATCATCTTTTGACTATGCTTCTCGTCTAGCTGGGGGAAAAGCTTCTTTAGGTTATACAAAGAGGGATCACATAAACTATCTTCGTGACAAAAGAAAAGAGAGTTTAAAGCAAGGAGTGGCTCGTAGTTTGGTCGATTATTTTGAAAAAAGAGTAATAAAAGATCCATCTTTTCGATTTTCTTTACAATTGGATGATGATGGTTTGATAACAAATGTTTTCTGGGCTGATGCTAAAATGATAAGGGATTTTCAGATTTATGGTGATGTTGTATCATTTGACACAACATATAGAACAAATAAGGAGTATCGACCATTGGCTTTGTTTGTTGGATTAAATAATCACGGGGAAATGGTTGTATTTGGTGCTGCCCTTTTATATGAAGAAACAGCTGAAGCATTTGAATGGCTTTTTACTGTATTTTTTAGAGCTATGTCTGCAAATAAGCCACAAACATTCATCACAGATCAAGATCCTGTAATATGTTTAGCAGTCTCATTGGTGATGCCACAAACATATCATCGTCTATGTATATGGCAATTGGAACAAAATGCATTTAAACATCTTAACCATATCTTTAGAGCTCATAAATCATTTCCGAGTGATTTTAGCAAATTGCTTTATTATTACGAGTATGAAGATGATTTTCTAAATGCATGGGAGGAAATGCTTGAAAAATACGACCTTAAGGATAATAGTTGGTCGAAAAACACCTTTGCTATAAGGGAAAAGTGGTCCATGACATATGGTAGAAATATATTTTCAGCTGGTATGCGAAGTACACAGTTGAGTGAAAGTTTCAATGGATCACTAAGGGGCTACCTGAAATCAGATTTAGATATTGTACAGTTCTTTAAGCATTTTCAAAGAGTTGTTGATGATAAGCGTGCTAATGAAAATAAGTCAAATTTTGACATGACCCAACGAATATTTGTTTTAAAGGTTAAGCTTCCTTTATTGATCCATGTGAGAGAAATATATACTGCAACCATATTTGATTTGTTCGAAAAGGAGTGGGAAAAGTCATTACTTGTCTCTATAAATGGCTTTCATGATGAAGGAGAATTATGTAAATACAATGTTAGCACGCATGGAAATCGCAGAGAGCATGTAGTAGCAGTGAAGTGCTCTACAAAAGTAGTCTCTTGCAGTTGCAAATTGTTCGAATTTTCGGGTGTACTATGTGGACATGCTCTAAAGATTCTGGACACATTAAATGTCTAGGATAAGATTCCTGACCATTATATATTAAAAAGGTGGACAAAAGATGTTACCAACTTGGTTGCAATGGAGATTAAAGTGTTTACTGAGGGAAGTGATCCAAAAGTTGAAGTTAGTACAAGGTATAGACATTTATGCCAAACTCTTGTCCAAATTGCAAGTGAAGCTTCAGAATCCAGAGAAGGATATGAGCTGGTTGCAGAGTATTCCAACGAGATAATTGCAAAGTTAAAGGAAGTAAAAACAAAAAATGAATCTCATGAAAGTCCACCAGTTCTAAGCAAAGTTCTCCATGATGAGACAATATCTGTTGACAGTGCAAATGTCACAAAGGTGACAGGGTTAAAGAAGAAGCAACCAACTCGTCGCTCCAATACTCTACCAAAGAGTTTTGTGGAAAAGACCAGGAAGAAGAAGAATAAGATTCAATCGCCAATATCCCCTCCATTGCAAATTGTCCAACATGTAAGTCACCTTGCAGGCCTCCAAGCACCATGTCCGCCATTGTCTAATGCCACAACGAATACGGTATGTCATAACAACTATATTTTATTCCTTGTGTGGTATTGTGTAAGCTTATTTTTCTCTTTACATGCTAGGGATTGGGAGGAGGAAATTCTTACCCATGGTATTCTTCAGAATCATCTCAGCTAACATCTCATGGAAGTCTATCTCAACTCCTAAGAGATAGTATAATTTATTTTTGTGATTTTATGTCCTTATTTTTTTAAATAATACTCTCATATGAATTATTTCACTTGCAGGATATTTCACTTGATAATTTAAACAAGTTCTCTCAAGGTTGATCGCCAATATCATGAAAGAACAAAGGTTGCATAGCAATATAACTTGCATTGTCACCACAAAGATGATTTCAGAACTTCTATTTGTTCCAAAACAATCAGTGACTGTTTCCAGCTTTGGAGTGTAGTTTATAAATGCTTCCATATTGAAAAATAAGATTCTCTGTTATGACAAAGATCAATATTGAAAAATATGATTCTCTGTTGGTGAATTTATCTTGCCGCGCTCTTTCATTACTGAAGCAACTGAGCAGTTGATCTATATTCCCTTTGAAACTATCTCATGTTTATAATTGATGGTTGGTGTTTACCTAGAAACCAAAGGAGATGCATAGCTTGTCAGCTCTATTATTGTGGGAAAGAACTGCTCAAGTCTTTCCTCATATAAATCTCAAAGAAAAAAAATTCAGTATACTTTCGATTTACTTCTTTGGGAATGTTGATGCAGATGCTTTTACACGTCTAAGTTGAAAAAAGTTGCTTTGAAATTGGTCCAAGATTGGAAATGTTGGAACTTACTTCTAATATTTTTTATTTTTAAATGATAATGTAAGGAGATTTTGTAAAAGCAAAAAAAAATTAACTTGCAGAAAGAATATTACTATTTTTGTAGAAGTGAAAGAAAATTACTACCAAAAAGAGTGAAGAAATCTTAGATAATCTGTAGCTATAATTGTGGGATTGCAAAATATATTATTTAGGAATGGATAAAGGAAGTAATTAAATATTTTAACCATAGTTAGGGCTTTATTTTATTAATTAAATTTCATCCAATTATTTTTAACCATGACAAGTGTCTCTAATCCAAGTAGGAACTTGGAGAAATGGAGGGACTAGGAAATGGAGGGGAGTTAAATCCAAGAAAAACAAATAGCTTACTTTGTCAACTACTTTGTCCATTTCAAAGATAGTTCTATTATACTTCCTGGGAGTCAAACCAACTTTTGACTAAGATATTCAAATAAATATATTTTAGGCCATTTTGGCGGCCATCATCTCTTTTGCATTTGTCAAATTCGGCAGGCGTGCAGAAGGAATGTCAAATGTAGTAGGCGAGACTCTGCCTATAAAAGGAGAGCTTCGCTCTCATTTTTGACACACCAATCTCAGAGGAAAAATATATCTGAGAGTAGAAAGAAAGAGTAAGGTTTCACAGACAGGGTATAAGAAAATAGTCTGTGAGAAAAATAGAGAGTGAGTGATATTGCAGTGAGGTGGAAATATCAAAAGAAGGTTATTTCTTTTGAGTGTTGTAGTGGTCTTTTGAGTATTTTACTCGGACCTACAAAGTGTAAAATTTCTTGCTATAGTGATATCAGTTGCTCTTCTTAGGGCTGTGGTTTTTTCCCTTATTCAAAGGGTTTTCCACGTAAAAATCTTGGTGTCGTTGTTACTCTTTTATTCTTGTTAATTACTGTATCTCGGTGCTACGTTATTATTCCGCTTGTATTACCGTGAATATTATGTTTGTAGGGGGTTTTATTCCCAACAACTGGTATTAGAGTACAGGTTCTGCTCGTTCACTGAAATACTATTCACTGTCGGTAGTACTATACTCGGTGAAAAATAAATATGTTCGGAGTAAAGTACGAGGTAGCAAAATTCAATGGAGATAACGGTTTCTCAACATGGCAAAGAAGGATGAGGGGTCTGCTCATCCAACAAGGATTACACAAGGTACTAGATGCTGATGCCAAAAGGTTTGATACCATGAAAGCTGAGGATTGGGCTGACTTGGATGAAAGAGCTGCTAGTGTAATCAGGTTGCACTTATCAGATGATGTGGTAAATAACATAATTGATGAAGACACTGCACATGGAATTTGGACAAGGTTGGAAAACCTATACATGTCCAAAACGCTGACAAATAAGTTGTACCTGAAGAAGCAGTTATACGCCCTACACATGGGTGAATGTATGAATTTTTTGTCACATTTAAATGTGTTTAATAGACTAATCACACAGTTTGTCAACCTCGGAGTGAAAATCGAGGAAGAAGATAAAGTCATCTTGCTATTGAAGTCGTTGTCATCTTCGTACGATAATTTGGCAACAACCATCCTGCACGGTAAGACTACTATTGAGTTGAAAGATGTTGCATCGGCTCTTCTATTCAATCAAAAGATGAGAAAGAAGCCTGAAAATCAAGGACAGACTCTCATCACAGAAGGTAGAGGCAGGAGTTATCAAAGGAGTTCGAGCAACTATGGTAGATCCAGAGCTCGTGGAAAGTCAAAGAACCGATCCAAATCAAGAGGCAGAAATTACTACAATTGTGATCAACCAGGTCACTTCAAAAGAGATTGCCCAAATCCAAGGAATGGCAAAGGTGAAACCAGTAGCCAAAAGAATGACGACAACACAGCCGCCATGGTGCAAAAAAATGATAATATTGTCCTTTTTATAAATGAGAAAGAAGAATGCATGCACCTGTCAGGTCCAGAGTCGGAATGGGTGGTTGACACAGTGGCATCTTATCATGCCATACTGGTAAGAGATCTTTTTTGCAGATATGTAGCAGGTGATTTCGACACAGTGAGAATGGGTAACACAAGTTACTCAAAGATTGCGGGGATTGGTGACATTTGTAACAAGACAAATGTTGGATGCACATTGGTTCTAAAGGATGTGCGACATGTACCTGATTTGCGGATGAACTTGATCTCGGGAATTGCTTTAAACCGAGATGGATACGAGAACTATTTTGCAAATCAAAAGTGGAGACTCACTAAGAGATCATTGGTGATTGCAAAGGGAGTTGCTCGTGGCACGTTGTACAGGGCAAATGCAGAAATACGCCAAGGTGAATTGAACGCGACGCAAGATGAGATTTCTGCAGATTTGTGGCACAAAAGAATGGGTCATATGAGCGAAAAGGGATTGCAGATTCTTGCCAAGAAATCACTCATTTCTTATGCCAAAGGTACAACGGTAAAACCTTGTGACTATTGTTTATTTGGTAAGTAGCATAGAGTCTTATTCCAGACATTAACTGAAAGAAAATTGAATATACTTGATTTAGTATATTCTGATGTTTGTGGCCCAATGGAAATTGAATCAATGGGCGGTAACAAATATTTTGTTACTTTTATTGATGATGTTTCACGAAAATTATGGGTTTATATTTTGAAAATCAAAGATCAGGTGTTTCAAGTTTTTCAGAAGTTTCATGCTCGAGTAGAAAGGGAGACGAGTCGAAAGCTAAAACATCTCCGAAGTGGCAATGGAGGTGAGTACACTTCAAGGGAATTTGAAGAGTACTGTTCAGGTCATGGGATCAGACATGAAAAGACAGTTTCTGGAACCCCGCAACACAATGACGTAGCCGAGAGAATGAACCGCACCATTGTGGATAAAGTGAGAAGCATGCTTAGAATGGCTAAACTGCCTAAACAATAGAGTGTTGTGGGTTCTANTTTCTTAATTCCTCGGGAGTAAAACATCTTCCCGAGCGAGTCAAACCCTGTACTTCACAGATTTTTTCCTTGACTTCTTTTCCTTTGTACATTACTGTTACCCGTTCGTAGTTCTATGGAATAGCCCTACTGTTGATCACTGGTAACTGGGTTACTGGCTTGATAATAACCCGATCTACGTGGGCTCCTTCCACGACTATGATGGTTTTGCTTGCCACCCCTGGTACAATCACCTTTACCCCTTCCTGCTTCGTGGCAACTTTGCTCGAAGATCCCTTCTCAACTGCCACAGATGGCTCAACACTGTTTTTGTTCTGCTTGGGTACCGACTTCTCATCTGCTAATTGTTCATTTGTCTTGGCTTCATTAGACCGAATCATCATGATGGTTTGTGACGGCTTCTTGGTTTCCCCATCAGCCTGCACTATTTCTATCATATTGGCCTCTTGATGGGCTGGCATCGGATTTCTGTTGATATTGGGAGCTTCGGGAGCTTGAACTTCAATTTTTTCAGTATCAATCAGCTCATGTATTGCATTTTTTAAGTGCCAGCACTTTTCTGTATCATGACCTGGGGTAGCAGAACAATACTCACAGCTAACAATGTAGTCCAGATTCTTTGGAGGAGGATTTGGCAGCTTGGATTGTATCGGCCTTAGCATATCTAGCTGTTTTAGCCTGTGGAACAAACTAGTGTAGGATTCTCCCAACGGAGTAAAGGTTTTCTTTTTCTGCAACCTTTCACTCTTGAGTGCTTGATTAGGCCTGAAACCTGGTCCGGGAACATTTTGATAGGCTCGTGGATATGGGTAGGTACTTGGTAAGACAGTAGCACGCCAATAGGCGTGGGCAGGTGGTTGATTGTATGTTTGCGCATGGTGGACGGAAATTGAGGTTCCGACGGGTGATAGTAGTGTTGGGGTGAATTGTGGTGATAAGTTGGTTGGTGGGATCGAGGTTGATTGTAGTAATGAGGTGAACCTCTGGATCCGGACCAAGTTCCTGAATCAACCATTGTCGCTTCCTCTCTTTTCTTCTTTCTAATCCCTCCTATGCCGCCTTGAATAGCCTGAGTAGTCGCTTTGATAGCCGAATAGCTCATGATTTTATTCGACTTGAGGCCTTCTTCTACCATACCTCCCATCTTCACTACTTCGTTGAATGATTTTCCTATCACTGAGACCAAATGGCCATAGTAAGTAGGTTCCAAGGCCTGTAGGAAGTAATCTACCATCTCACTTTCCTTCATTGGGGATCCACCCTTGCTGCCTGTTCCCTCCACCGGAACCCATATTCTCTAAAGCTCTCACTATGCTTTTTCTCAAATTTAGTCAAGGATAGTCGATCTGGAACGATTTCCAGATTGTATTGGAAGTGACAAGCAAATGCCTGTGCCAGGTCATCCCATGTGTACCATCTCCCATGGTCTTGGCGGGTGTACCATTCCAATGCTGATCCGCTCAAACTCTGACTGAAGTAAACCATTAATAATTCGTCTTTTCCTCCAGCTCCCCTCATCTTGCTGCAAAAACCCCTCAAGTGGGCCACTGGATCACTGTGCCCGTTGTATAGGTCGAACTTGGGCATCTTGAAACCAGCTGATAATTGCACATTTGGGAACAGACATAGGTCCTTGTAGGCCACACTGACCTGCCCTCCTAATCCCCGTATGTCTCGGAACGATTGTTCTAAGCTTTTAACTTTCCTGAACATCTCTTCCTGTTCGGTATTTTTGACTGGCTTGTCAATTTCTGTTGGGAGGTCAAAACGGGGAATAAATGAATGGATTTCTGAAGCTTTGAAAGTGGGCTCCGAGGGGTAGTATTGGTTGTCCTGGGCCTGGAATATAGGCTCACTAGGAGATTTGTGGAGTGTAGCCGGGGGAGGTGCTACGAAGACAGGAGTTACTGGTGGAGGAGGGTATGGAATTGGTTTATGGGGTGGAGATTGTGGTGCATGAGAAGTGGTGCCTCANTGATTGGGGAAACGGGTCCGTTTATTAGGGATTGGGTTACTTGGAATCAGGTGTTTTTGATTGTTGATATTGTTTGTTGCTGTGCTATTATCTTCCCTATTGTTTGGTCGATTAGGTCGCTGAGGGAGACATCGAAAACTGATGGAAAGGCTGCTAAGAATTTGGCGAAATTGACTTTGTTTAGGCAGTTTTACATTGTGGTGATCGGATACTTGTACTTCACGAGAATTGTTGTGTTTGCGTTGAGGACGATTGCGGCTTATAAGTACCAATGGGTGGCAAATGCTGCCGAGGAGATAGCCAGTCTGGCGTTCTACATGGTGATGTTTTACATGTTTAGGCCAGTGGAGAAGAATGAGTACTTTGTTCTTGATGACGAGGAAGAAGAGGCTGCAGAGTTGGCTCTTCGGGATGAGGAATTTGAGCTGTGAAGTTGAGATCTCGTGGAAGGTCTCCTCCTGTCATTTTATACGGTTTGCAGCCTAACACTGTGAGTTCACTGAAGTGATAGTTAGGTTTGCTGGGATGATATATCATTTACTGTTCTTTTACTTTTTCACTTTTATTAAACAATATTTTGGGTTATTGTAGTAGCACTGGTATCATGGAACAGTTGTTTCATTTTTGGATATTGTAAGTTCTTTCGATGAAATTACTATGTAAACCTCATTTTCATGATACAGTGGTTTATCATGGTTTCCTCCTTGTTGGTCCTTTTTCTATTCTTTCGTCCATCTAAAATTGTGTAGTTGAATATGAAATTGTTAAAATGTGTTGTTTTCCATTGAGAAATTTTGTATAGTTGTGAGTGTAGATTGTTTAGTTGACGATAATGACTGCTTGGTGTATGCCTTTTTCTGTGTTCTATTGTTTGCGTCATGCTTTTACATCACTCCTGACTGGCCAAACTTTGTCCACTTATATGACTGTTAGGATGCCAAATAATCCACCTTCCTATGAGTGATATAATATCTGTTGACCAATGTCTTCTCAGTTCATTTTAGGAGTTACTGCCTATTGGCATATTGAGGATCAGAACCAGAACTGAGAGAAATGGTCTTGTTCACTTCTCGTCTGTCTATGTGGACAACACCAAAGATATGTCAAAATTGTTCATTGATCGTGATTTTTATAGTTCTTGTGCTTGGTACTTGTGTTGCTTTGCTGAGGTGTTGAGCACATGATATCTTGTGGTTGTCCTAGTTATTAAGATAGTTATGGGCTATGCATCGGGTTAAAGGTTGTAGGATCTGTTTGGTAGACTCACTGACCTTTTTCCATATCAATGCTTTCCTATTTCAAGTGTTGGTGTTGAAAATGTTCTGTAGTAAAATAATTAAAACAGCTTGTGGCGCAATGTGCTATTACTTGTAAGTTAATTTCCACTTGACTTTAAACTCGAATTGGTCCCATGGATAATTACATACTGCTGATACCTTCCGTTACTCTTTTGTCACTTCCACCTCAAGTAATGACTCGACAATACTACTACATGCTCATAACATTTCTCATTAATGTCCCAGAAGAATGATTTAGAACGTGTTTTACCTTATAAAGCATTTTACATGAAACAATGAGAAGTAATAGACAATGACATAGGCCAAAAAAGCTTATTGTCAAAGAATCAATGAAAGCCTGAAAGGCAATAGATCAGGGATGGTATGTTGGTGGGAATTCTTACAATACTTTTTCTCTATTACTGAGATCTGAGATCCCTTCCAGATATAAGGCTTAAGGAACCACGGTACAATAGGGTACGTTAGTTGACGCGCTGCTATTCATCAGGACAATTCTGCCTTCACGTGAGAAACCATTTAACTGACATTGAAGGCTTTTTTTTCCTACACTAGAAAGCTGGCTAAATTGAACAATCATGACTCGGAAGCAAAAGTGGTAATGTAATTAGGTATTTACTGCATTTTATGTTAGACACAATCGGGGATCATCCATCATATGTGAGGGCAGATGTACCTCCTTTTTGCTATCTTTATCTGTTATCTTTATCAAAATACAAATGTCATTAAATATCTAGTGATAGTCTATAGGATGGAACAGATACAGAAAACAGAAAGCACCAATACAATCTTGTTTACGCTGCGACAACTTTGGTCTTTTGTTCAATAGATCATCTAGATGCTCTTTCATACATAGACCTTAATGATAGATAAGATTACATGGAACTTCTGGCTTGACTTTCGTTTTTCTTGTTGGTTCCCATACTTTTCCTATGCTGATAGGGTTAGTCTACTACTCGTCAGGGAACTCATAATACTGTGTGTAGGGAAGTTATGAAGCAGCTACATTTGCCTTCATCTTACAAATTTATGAATCCCTTAGTAGTTACAGAGGAACTTAAAAATAAACAAAATAGTAGTACTTGTCTAACTTGCAGAAAGATGCTCTTGCTGTCTGTTAGAACTCTTGTATGCTAGCTGTGGTTTATCTTTGAATTCGCGGGGAGGGGGTGGGAGGGGGTAGGTTCTTGAATTTTCTAGGTGAAGGCTCACAACCTTGAGTTGAAATCTTCATCGGCTATTGTGCTGCTGAAAATGGGTAAGTTTAGCATCAAACTTGTTTTTACTTCCTCACAGCTAGTAAATTTACCCTTCTGTTGCTCTGCTGATTTTGTGACAAGTTTTTAGTTCTTTTACAGATGGACATAAACACTCTTTTTCTTTTGAAATTCAGGTAGTACCGTTTTCCCATTAATTGTTTTGGTGATATAACAGTCCTCGAACATAACCAATGAAAATGTGGCGCTATTCTCAGAGGTCTAATTGCTGGCTAGGGCTGTCACAATCCACTTATTCTTGCGCAACTGTCAAGTATTTCAGGGCTCTGCTTTGATCCAATTGTAGTAGCAGCTATAGCGTAGTAACCACTTCCTAAACAAAAATGCTAACTTCTGACAGTAGAGGGCTTCTTTATTGTTTGCAATTTTTTTTTAACTTTGATGGATGAGGGATTTATCATCTGACTTTTATATTAGGCATGCCTTGCTTTTTAACTCAAGGCAAATGATTGGTTACACATAGGAAGTATGGGTTCCGTGAACAGAAAACAATGAAATTTTAACCAGATATCTTTGTTTGGTGGTCCAAGATAATCTTGATAGATAAGTAAAACATGGAGGCATATCAAAGATGAACATAATGGCGGGGTCCCAACTTGAAGGTGTTCCATCAGAGAAGACGTTCGCTATCAGCTCATACTCCTTTGATAATGATATTGAGGTTTCTGCCTTTTTGATTTGCAAGTTTTGTTCTTCTACTAGTTGATGCTTGCACACTGAAAGTGAAATCTGAGCAACAGCAGCAACAAGAAAGCCCACCTAATTGATATTTGACCTTTAAAATGTCTTGAGAAGTTCCTTTGCTATTTGATAATGAGGATTACCAGGTTTTGTCCAACAGCATTCTTATGAGTTGTGACGGATCATCAAATAAAGCAAACAAAAACGATTATCATAGTAGGGCGGTCCGGTGCACAAAGAATCCTTCGTGAGTCCGAGGAAAGGCTGCGACACATTGTACTTTCATGCAAGCATTAATGGCTGCTTTCATAGCTCGAACACGTGATTTACAGTGACAACTTTACAATTGCTCTAAGACTTCCCTTCCATGGTTGTCATAGTGCAGCGAGCGAAATGAGATCAACCGAAAATGTGAAAACAATGTTGTGGAATACAAGTGTCGTGCTGTTAGTCGAAGCAGCATGAATGATCTATAACTCATGAGCAGCAAATGCCTGCTTTGGATTTTCCATTGCTGCATCTTTAGTCTATTTTCCTTTACTTTAAAGAGCTCTCGAGTCTAATTATTCTTGTGTATTTAGGTACAACTGAAGATTCATAACATATCCAATCTGATTAACAGGAGAGGTTAGGCGGACTCAGTGGCCAAAGGGGAAATGTTGTCGGCTTACTTTTTCTTCTATTGTCTTAGTAAAGTTGAGCGTACATACAACGATCCTTTTCAAACTTTACTTGTAGGAATACGCTGGTCTACTGGGTTTGTTGCTGTTGTTTGTTTTAGTGAAGTTTCCATCGAAATATTAACCTCGGGTCATGAAAATCAATTTAATTAATTATTAGATACATATTTTTTCTTTCTTGTCTTAATATTTCCCCCCTTCTTTCTCACTTTTTGTCTTTCGGAGAGGTTGTTGAGCACGTACAAATCCCTATCATATGAAAAGAAAATTTAAGTAGTTTGATGTGATGTAACATTGTTAAAGAGAAATATAATTTTGACACACGACAGCGACATATTTAGAATTTAGACATAGTAGGTCATAGAAATAAATATATAATTCCATTTAACTTGTTATTCACGTACATATATAAAATTCGGGTGAAAAAAAAATGAAAAATTGGAAAATGTTTGTTGCTCTAATATACGTTCTTAACTTTCTTTTGAATATGAAAATCATTTGCCATTCACTATCGTCAAATAGACAGTTTAAGAAATCACAAGAAAAAAAGAAATATATTTTAAGTTGTAATGCGCATGGAACTTCCATTCTAAAAGCTGCAGCTACTTTTGACTATTATCGCAGGGAGTGACAAACGTGCGGGTCGGATATGGTTCGGGTCGGAAAGGAGTAATAAAAAGGAAAATTATCCGACCCGATTCATATTAAATACGGATAAAAAAGGGGTTAACCGGCGGATAATATGGGTAACCATATTATTCATGACTTCTTGCATATGATCACTTTTGGGAGAATTCTTAATCTCCGTAACTTGAGGAACTCCCAATTTGAGGCTTTATAAATGTAAAAGTTAGACCCATTGGTTAATCCATTTTCTAAATGGATAATATGGTTCTTATCCATATTTGATCCGTTTTTAAAAAGTTCATTATCCAACCCATATATTAGTGGATAATATGGGTGGTTAACTATTTCCTTTGAACTATTTTGCCACTACTAATTATGGTCATTTACAATGGATAAGGGTGACAAACGGTCCGGTCCCGGTCCCAAACGGGCTTCGTGGGCCGGGCTTAAACGGACTCGGTCTTCATGGGCCGGGCTTCAACGGACCTGGGCTTCATGGGCTTTTGGGTGTAATCAAACCTAGACCGTGTACTAATGGTCCCGGGCTATGTGGGTCGGGCCCGGCCCTAAACAGGCCTAATATGTGGGGCTATTTATTTGTTTAAATTTTTTAACTTAAATTTTTTTAATTCAAATTTAAAACACAAAATATTATTAAAAGATATTCAAAGGAATGCGTTATAATTTTTATTATTATAACATTAAGAAAACATGGCCCAATCTTTCTTAGTTTCCATCCCCCTTCCCCCTCCAATGGTACGAGCACAACTAAGGTGATAATACCACCATTGAGAAGAAAAAGAAACTAATCAAGATGTGCCAAAATACAAGTTACATATTAATTTTACATGGTATCTCTTACAAATTTCATAAATCCATCAAGGTTCAGAGGAATTTCCGTTGGTGGTGGCGGAAAAGAAGCTTGTTCATCATCGCTTCCGGACGAAGCTGCTTCCTCCGCAAGTTCGCTAGCATTCTTCGTAAGCTTCGTCTACCTCTGGTTGTGATTCAGCAAATCCAAAATTTCTTCGTTCCGAACGGATCCAATCTCTGAAAAGTACTGATTTTTTCAAGCTCTCCCTCATAGACGCTCTATAATCATCGAGTTGTAGTCTTGCTTGACTGAAAGCTCTCTCTCATGCCAC